AAAGCCTAATGAGAAAAGAGGAATACAGAGCCTTAAAAAAAAAAAAAAAAAAATCAAAACAATACTCTCAGATCTCAATAATCCTAGAAAGGCAGCATCAGTTACAGATTTTAATTATGTAGTGCAAAACAACAACTTATCTTTGATAGGTGATATCTTGTTCTCAATTCTTTTTAAATTGTTTTGGCTAATTATTATGTTATACACATTTGCTATGGTAGAGAAATTAATCTAAATCAAAACACAATCAACCACTCCAGTTGTGATCCCACCTGGTCTCCTGGGTCTACAGCACAACTTATAATGAACTTGGCAGCTGAATAGTCTTAGAATACAATTTGAGGAAGGAAAAATTGTTATACTTAGCTTGGGGGAAATTAATTACAAGCAGAATCCTTACTTACATGTGCTTACACATACTTTGAGTGAGCTATCTTAAACAGGATTATAGTACAGAGAGGGCACTTCAATTTACCACAGAATTAACCAGGTAGTGCCAGCAAGACTACAGGTCTGGAGCATCCCTTTTACCTTAGAGCATTTCCCTTTCATGAATTCAGGGATAGGAAATACAGAGAAAGGATATAAAAGTTTGTTTTTTAAAAGTATTCTTGAAATAAGCTGCAATGCTCACTCCAGCTTTGTGGTTGTGTTTGAGTTGGCTGCTGAGGGGGACAGGAAGGATGGGCACGGACACAACCAGGAGGGGAGGTACATGAGGGAGAGGAAGACTTGGCAGATTAAGAAGTTTGAGGAAAAAAACTGCCCAGTTCCAGATTACAGAAAAACATGCCAAAGTTATGAAAGTGAAATTTATTTCTGAATTGGGTTTTTCCTCTTTCTTTAAAGCAGAGTTTACAGTAATTGTCTTGAAAGAAGCTAAACAGAAAATATCTTTTTAGCAATCCATTTTTTTACCTCCAAATTCTCATTTTACTGAAATTGAGGTTTTATTCTCCTGTGACACCACCTTGAACAGTATAACTTTTTTACGATTTTAATATTTACCAGAAAGTTCACTGTTTGTACAACACTTGTAGGAGCATGGGGTAAAACCAACAAAATTCTACTGCTCATGAAGTGTTGTCTCGAAGTCCATAACACAAAACATGCCTCATCTTCTTAAGTTGCACTATGGTGCGAGATACACCATCCAAGCTGTCCCTGGAACAGTTTACTATTGCTTTTCTTGGAGCTACTCTCTCCTTACATAAACGTTATTAAAAATACAGTACTCAAAATACACCATGGATATAGTCCTGTTTTTTTGTGTGTGTGGATAGAGATCTCTTGCCACCTTCGGTTATAGCGAGTACTCAGTCCCCTTCCCAGACAACTGAATAATCTTGCAAATGCTGTGAGACAAATTTACTTGCATCTTGGCTTTCAAAGAACACGCAGACAGACTACACTGATAAAGCAATTGTTTCTTAATCTCCTTCATGGCAGAGAATTAGTTTTTCTCAATTCCAAAGTAAATTGAGCATTCTTTGTATTTGACGTTTAAGTACCTGTAGCTTTAACAGTTCTTCCCACTACAGAAATAAAGGGATTTAGTACAAGCACTGTACAGGAAAAGAAGGCTGTGCAAGCTGAAGAGATTTGTCTCAGAAAGCAAGCTTCTCTGTATACCGTTCAATAGACTGTGTTTGCTATCATATATTTGCAGCAAACTTTGAACTTCTGCAAGCAACTCGAGTCTCTCACAGATTTTAATACTCCCCTCTTTCTGACTAGAGCTGCTTGTTTACTGCTATGGAAATTAGCAGCTATGTCAATCAAGCCTAAAAAGGTAAAATCTTCAATGAAATGTCAGTTCCGATTCTTTTCCAATTTTGTTTGAGACCTGGACACACAAAAAGAGGGGGGTTAAAAACCCCAAACCAACAAACAAAAAACCAAACAATCAGGTAATTTTTTAAATCATTTCTGAACATCTTAGAATAAACAAGGCTGTTACATTTTTAAGCCTTAAACTTTGTCTCTAATCAGACAGAGACTATTTAGTGTTTCAGGTATCATGACCAAAGAAGCCCTTAATGACTAAAACCAGTTCACTGCACAACCTCCCGTGTTTGCAGTAGAAGGTCAGATTTCCACAAAAGTTTAAAAAAGGAAACCCAGATTTGTTGTTGCATTTCACTAGAGGGCAGGAGATACGGAATGACATACGAGGAACCCCATTATTTTTACTCATCAGTGGAGCATAGATTCGATTTCTCTGGTCTTTGCTATTTCCTAATCTCTCTTCCTCACAGCTCTTCCCACACCTCCTTTCCAGCATTCAGTCTGGCATCTATTCCAATCAGATAGGATGAAAAGTAATTATGCAGCAGCGTCCCTCCCAGACAAGTACAAGGCACAGATCACTGATCGAACAGACCCATGTAGGAAGTTCTTCAGTTCTGAGTAAATGCTTAACATTGCCATTACTACCTAGAAAGGAGTGTGCTGTTTAACTTAAATTCTACCACAACACTCAATACCAGCACCACTTTCCTTCCCAGCAGCAAGAAGCTTTCTCTGCTTGGAACAGAGAAAAGTTCGTAATTCCATGCAATTTATTTTCTCACTAGAGAAGTCGGTACTACACACTTGTTGATTATACATAACCATAAAATGAAATAAAGTGTGAAATACCGCTGTATTATATTAAAGCTTTAAGATTATCTGAAACAATTGAAGATGAACTTAAAGATTAATAGGAAGCAACTCAAAGAGGAAATCATTAGACATACTAAAATACATTTGTTATAATAATTAAAATCACAATTCAAAAAAGCTCCCTTAATTCATCAGTTAAATTGTTCCAAATAAAAATAAAGAGCAGCTCATCCTATTAAGTAACAGTGTGTAACTCACTTATTACATTGGTCACTCAGTTTAATTGACTTGTGAGTTATGTGCAAGAGTTTCCATTAAACAGTTGACCTATGCTACATGTTACTTCTGCAATAGTGACTTTCTTAAACAGTTCCAACCTCCATAAGCTATGAAACTGTCATCCTCAAGAACACAGTCTATGAGTACAAGAAGACAAATCTTTTTTGGCAATTAAATAAATACACAAAGGTTTGACATCTGCAACATAAACATATCCAGTTAATGGCAATTCAGTGCAAGTGAGAGAAAAAAAACCAGGGGGAAACCAGTAAATTGAACTTAAGAGCACACAAAACCTAACACTGCAAAGAAACTAGCAGGAGACCAGAACTCTACAGTAGCTGAGTGATAAGCTACCAAAGGAACCACTCCAGTGTAACCTTGAAAGGGTTAAACCAGAACTTTGTAGTTGGTAAGAAAGGCAAAGAAGATTACCATGCATCTCAAGGGGCAGAAAGGCAAATTTATCATGGAATAAGAGATTACTGACACTACAGAATTTATTAAGAAAAGTTTCAAGAAGATTCTGGGGTGGTGTAAAATTTATTGTGGGATGTTTAGTGGAAGAAACACAGACAAGGAACAGGAGGAATCTAGGGTGGTTCAGGGAGAAACAAATGTGGGAAAAGGTAGGAAAAATGGGAGGAGACCAAAATAAACTGGTTGCCAGCATCCATTTCTCCATTTAAACCACAAAATATTCAGCATACAAGATAAATCCCCTCACTCCCAATGCCTCAGAGAATACACAGTAAACAATGTTAAATGCTAATCATCACCAGACATTAACACATGGTTTAACACATTAATGGTTTAATTAATATAAAAGAGTCTGGAATAAACACCTGAAGGAAAGTACAAGCATTAGTGTCTACAGAGCCATTGTACTGTCTACTCTTTTATATGGGTCTGAATCATGGGTTATCTACTGCCATCACCTGGGACTCCTGAACGCTTCCATCAGCATTGCCTCCATACAATTCTAAACATCCACTGGACTGACTATGTGTCAAATGTTACTGTCCTTGAACAGGCAGGGGTCACTAGTGTCGAGGCCATACTGCTGAAACTGCAGCTGCGCTGGGCAGGGCACGTCTCCAGGATGGAGGATCACCGACTCCCTAAGACTGCGTTTTATGGTGAACTCGCCACGGACTGCCACAAGAGAAGTGCCCCAAAGAGGAGATATAAGGACTCCCTGAAACAGTACCTCAGCCTTGGGCATATTGACTACCATCAGTGATCCACCTTGGCCTCCAATCAGGAAACTTGGAAACACACCATACATAACACTGTTGTCTCCTTTGAGAACACATGCAGAATTAGTCTTGAGGAGAAAAGACAATGTAGAAAGAATTGTGCCTCACCTATACAACCCAAGGAGACCTCTTGCTGTGCTTTCTGCAACCAGATTTGGCCTTTTTAATCATCAGCACGCCTGTAGTAAGCATGGATAAAGCCCTTCCCAAACCTTTGTTCGCCAAGTCAAGCCATCACCACTAGTTAGTTAATTGTGCACCGTGTCCCTAAAACTGCCAACTGGAAATGACCCCTGCTCTGTATTAACTGTTAACCAAACTATGGAATGGAGTTTGTTGCCCTGGGACAAAACTTTTGGTACATTTCAAAAAATCTCACAGTTTGACAATAAAATTCCAGAGCTTACAAGTGTTTTCAGCTTTTCTTATACCTCATTTTTTATATATAAAATATATTTATATCTATAGTGTAAATATGAAAATATATGGCAATTCAAATTCATTTATACTATATCATTAAATATTTATGTAGGAACATTTCATATTTAATATATATCTATACATAAAATATTGAACCTCTTTAAAAAACAAAAGTCAATTAAAGTGATATGATTATAGAATACATCCAATGCACATGGTATACAACATGTATGTATGTAGTCATTAAGAAAAAAAAATCTAAATGCTATTACATTATGTTAGGTTTTAAGTATTTAGCAAAGTTAGGAAATTAACTTAGCATACAGAAACTACTGAACAAGCCAAATAACTTCTCCAATTTGGCAAATAGTGCAGTTTTAACAGAACTGGTAAGAAACAGTAACAACTAGCACACCTGAAGTGACATTTTCTACTTACTTTGCATAGTCAAAGAGCCTGCTGTCCCAGAGCTGGTGAGTTCCTTTAGGACCGGAATGGAAGAAACAAGAATCCGTACCATCAAATTTGTTGAGACCGTCTTCAGAGTTTTTGGATGCATGACTGTGCACGACATCGAGCAGAACAGTGATGCCCATTGAGTGAGCAACATCGATCATTTCTTTCAGGTCATCTGGAGTTCCATAACGGCTACCAACATGAAAACACATCATATTATGAGTGGTTCAATCTGAACTTAAGCTGACAATATTGAACATTACTTATAAATTGCATCGAGGTCAGCAGTTCTTCCTCACCTAGTTTCCAGTTGTATGCAGGTTATTTTTTCAGCCTCTTAAGTAATAGTTATTATAACCTGGTATATAAACAATTTTTAGTTATAAAAGTTATGCACACAATGTTTTGCAGAAATAGTTTCAAGGTTTTATTCTTCCATTTTAATCTGTTAATACATCAAATACAGTACAAAAGATAGCTGATAAAAGTTAAGGCTTCTATTTAAGGTCGGACACTTCCTTACTTCTTAAGGGACAAGAACACATATATTAATACAAAAATCACAACATTCAAGGTTTATCATCATTTTCTTAACAATTAACTGAATACATTTTCACTCTAGGCCTCAAATCTAAGAACTGTCTGCTACTGTTCCCACAGAACACACAAAGGCATGATTTTAATGAAGTCTATCACTAACAAATAGTGTACAGTTCTGTTTTATCGTAAGAGTGACTTACATATTGTGTTTGTTACTGCCAAGAAGATTGCAACACAAAAGCCAAGCATAAAGACTGATGAAGGTGGATTAGCTGGAATATGGTAGGACAGATGAAGTTACAGCCTTTCTATTGTACCCTATATGAAGTATTTCACAGAACAGCTGATCACTATGGCGAACTGAATTCAGATTTAAGAGGAAGCTAGAGCAAATACCTCAGTCATTACTTTCTCTTTCCATTACATACTTACTTGTAAACACACACATACAAGCATACTGATTTTGATGGATGTATGGAGTCAGGATGTAAACTAAAAGAACAGAGAAGATGCTGAAGTACTTAAACCTACCTTGATGCTGCGAAGAAGCTTGTGACCTGATAACCAAAACTGGCATAGTATGCATGTTCCATAATAGCCATCAGCTGGACACAGTTATATCCTATAGAAATAGAGTAAAACAAATCCCTGCCTTAAGGATGGTTAACAGAGGATTCAACACCTGTAACATATCCATTCCAGTCTTCTCTCATTTTAGCTGCTTCCAACTGTAATGATTAAAACTTGGTCTCTTTCAAGAAGAAATTAGTAGTTTATACCTACATGATCTTCCAATACAAATGTAACAGTTGATTTGTCAAATGGTCTACATATAGCTAAGCGTACTCAATCTCTCAGATTTAGAAAGCAGTAAATAATACTCAAATACAATCTTAATATAACCTCAGAATTTTAACTATGCCCACCTGCATGTGCTGAACCTCCATTTTACTTGCAGTGAGAGGGTATGGGGGTAGTCACTGGCTGCATGTGCTAGATATACCTTATGCAATCTTTTTTTACCACTTCAGAAACACTTTTCTTTCAAAATTTAATGATTATATTCCCCCTCTATAAGAGACTTTCAGAAAAGACAAAACACAAAAAGTCATGTCTTTTTGTTCCGATTTTACCAAAGAACCTAGTTACTGCAAGAGGGTCAGGGACACGCTGCCTCATGTATTACCTAGGAGTTCAGTGCAGTATTAAGAGAGGGAAATCTAAAGAGAAACCAACATGCTAATGGTGAAGGCACAGAAATCCCCACACATCTTAACTAAAGCTATCTTTAATATCAGTGAGTAAGAGCCCCTGACAGCTAGCAAGCAAGGACTATCAGCAAAAGATAAACTTCAGGTTTAATCTACAGTCTCTGTTGAAACTCCCACCACCACCACTCCTCTTTTTTTAGTTTCACCAAAATCTTCAGTCTTTAGTTCAGACAAGATACCAGTGGGGTTTTTTTTTATTGTTACTGGTTTTGGTTTTCAATTTCACAGCTACAGAAGAGTTCTTAGCAGACAGTTGGCATGAGTTCAGCAATGTGTCAAATTCATTGCTATTTTATAATTCAGGCTCATTGCACTTACTGTTATTTACAGCATTTTTATAAACAGCAACATAGCATCAAATTAATCTCATTTGATTTGCTTGCTATTTATTTTGCTATTTGTCATGCACATATTTCTACCAACTAATATCAGTTTTAAATACTGATCTCTTTAAGCTTGAATTAACCAGTAAAACATTCCAAAAAAGAATCTTAAAAACACAAACACCCAAAACTTAGTGTTTACATCATGTAAATAAGAATTAATGTTATCTATCATCTCTGTACGCCCTACCTAAATTTGATACTGCTTTTATTTTAGTGGTGTGTCAGCCTTTCATGTCATTTCTCCTTCCCAGAGAAAAATCTGCCCATAAAGCAGAAAGCTTTCATAATTCTGTTAAACCTATTAACCTCCTGGAACCACTGAAATTCTTCAGCAGTAAGGGAGAGGTCACAGGTACATAACATGGAATCCAGATCTACTTTTTGTTGAGGGCTTCCAGACACGCAAACTACATCTCACCTGCAAGCTCAACTTTATTGAAAGGGAAAGACACATTTTGTGAGACACTGACTCAACATGTAAACCTGCAAGAAAAAGGTATGATTTCTTCAGGAACTCTAGTAAAGAAATAAGTAATTCTACACATAAGCACAACTACCATCCCACAGAGGTCTCAGCTATGGACGTCACAATTATTTTATAGTTGAGTGTATCAAAGCATATTTCGTCACAGCAAGTTCTAATATTGTCCATTACAGAAACAGTGCAAAAACACCACAGGAAAAAAATAATCACCAATTAGAAATCGAGGTAAACAGCTTTCCTATGCTTCCTGACATAATCATCCCAGCTGGTTCACACACCCCCTCCAATATACTGGAAGTTCTTTTAGAAAAGAGGATTTGTCACATTTAAAGTTTCTGTGTTCTGATGTTTCATAGCAGCTGTTCAGGGATAAAAAAATCCAGCACACTCATTCTAGCCAACAGAAAGGATAGTCCTTTCTATCTGAATAGTTCTTTGTCTTTCCTTAGAATCAAGATTTACATTAGTAGAACCAATTAAGAACACAGGATTTTCTGAAGACTGTCTCCAAAAAAATGGGTCCTTTTTCAAGCTGAAAGTAAACCATGCCAAAAGCAAACTGCCCTGAAATATTTATCAAGCCTTTCGCAATCATATTTTACTTAAACTGTGTAATGGGTTTAGATTCACATACCCTATTTCTGTCTTTGTTTATTCTCTGTACATTTCACTTGCTTTTAATTTTTGCTGCCTTAAACATCTGTTTGTATAGTTGTCCTGGGTTCAGCAGTAGCAGTCATTTTTCTCTTTCTTGGTAGCTGGTGCAGTGCAGTGTTTTGACTTTTGGCTCAGGAACAGAGCTGATAACAATGATGGTTTGGTTTGGCCAAGGACTTTGTGAGCCTCATGCTTTGCCAGGGAGGAGGGGAAGCCGGGAGGAAGCAGAGACAGGACACCTGACCCCAGCTAGCCAAAGAGGTATTCCATACCACAGCACATCATGCCCAGGATGTAACTGGGAGTTACCCAGAAGGGCTGGGAGACTGCAGGGTTGGAGGAGGTATGGGTCGGTGCTTGGTCGGGCTGGGGGGGGCAAGTTATCGGTCGGCTGGTGGTGAGGTGTTGTATTGTCTTCCCTTGTTATTTCCTTTATCATTGTTATTATTGGTGGTAGCAGCAGTGATTTGTGTTATACCTTAGTTACTAAACTGTTTTTATCTCAACCTGTGAGAGTTGCATTCTTTTCGATTCTCCTCTCCGTCCCTCCGAGAGCAGGGGGAGGGAAAGAAGGGGAGGAGTGAGTGAACGAGTTGCCTGACTGGGTTTAATCCACAACAATAGCATGTAATCTGAAAACGCAAAAAACCTATAGACATTTGACAAATACATTTTCTAATAAAAATAAAAAGGACGTTGTCTGCTATTACTTACCAAGATCCTTTATCCTAGGTAGTACATTGTATGTGAAATTTTTATAAGAAGCTACTTTCCCTTCTGGGGAAGCAATCCCCACATGAGATTCATAGATTCTTAGGCTTTTTAATCTCTTGGGGGAAGGATGCTTATGCTATAAGGCAAAAGAAAACAGTTGTTGTTAGGAACAGCTTGGAAGTGTTGTCACAATCATAATTTGCATGAGATGAAAAACAATTTTAGGTTTGTTTTCTTTTTCTTCTAAGAGCACAAACATTACAAATAATTACACATTCTCAACTGTTAAAGTAAGTGTCTAGTTCAAATTAAAATTCTTCACGAACAAGAAACTGGACATTCATGACTCAATACTTTTCTTCTACCCTTCTTAAATTACACTGAGGTATACAAAGTTAGAGCACTCATTGTGCTAAAGTGCTTCTGAATAACTGTGAAGCTTGTTTGAAAATACAAGTCAACAACAGGCAGATAGGTTATTTTTCAAGCATACTTGCTTTCTGCAGGTACTCAGAGTTGCTCTGCCTTTTTCAAATAAAACTTATAAATATTTTAGCCCTAAAGAAAACAGTTCCACAGCACTAAAACATCTCTGTTCCAATTACTTGGGATGAAAAATAAAACAAAACAAGACCATACCCAAAGTCTGTAGGTGACTACACACTATTTCTAAATGGGTGAAAAATATTTAAAGAATACAAAGGCCACTGAAGTTCATCACAAAACCTCCTCCTTACACTTGAACAAGAGCTTACACTTGATTTTGAAAAGTTAGAGCAAAACCGGTAAAAACACACATATACATGGAACAGAAACTAAAAGGACAATGTGAAGAGCAAGAAGTTCTGGTTTTGTTCCCTGTAGTTTACATCAACTGCGCACCTCTCCTATTATTAAAAAGACTTCAATGTTTTTTCTGACTTATCTCAGTAAGGCATTGTCTGCACCCTAAATGTCTTTGCCTCCTTTTCACTCTAGGCCATTACAGATCACTGCATCTCCCATTACCTTGCCATTTCTTCTCTTACAGAGGATCCAGGTGTCACAGAGCATCATAGATACAGGGTAGGTCATTAAGTCATATGAACTATACACTTAAATAAGAAAGTTACTGCAATCATGATTTTAAGAGCTTTTCCATGTGTGTTACCCTTTCTTTGTCAAGCAGATGCTTCATAATTTGAGGTAGGTTCTAAAATTTAACTCAAAATGGATGCTACAGCACCTCTAATACAGAGCACTGAATACCACTTTTTAGAAAAAAACACCAAAAAAGTAGGCAGTCTACAGTTTCTGAATGTTCTCCTAGGATATTTTTCATATATCATGTGAAGAGTTTCAGCTTTATAGCAGTCCATGAGAATTAAGACAGTTTTTAAAAATCAATAAATGGATTTTCCCAATAAGAAGAAACTAGGATTTGACTGGAATATGAGCACCTTACTTTTGAAAGTTTTTCCTGACTTCATACAACATTGACTTACTATTGCAGTACTGAACTTTGTATTTGCAACTAATTCAAACCCAATTCTAGTAATTCCCTGCTCTCCTCTGGACCAGGAAGGGCCACCTAGTCTTGGAATACTTATTGAGCTTGCCTAGTATATGGAAAGCTAAGTTTAAAAAACCACTTCAATGGGTAACAATTTTTATTATATACTCTACAGAAGACTGAAAGAGTAGCTTCAAAATATCCTTCATTAAAGTAACTTCATTCTGTCAAAGGCATGAACAACAACCATTCACTTCTCAGGTAGCTATTTTAATTAGTTTGCTACCTTCTTTTTATGGAACAACTCTTTTTTATTCCAGGCAAGGATACAAAGGTGACAGGATACACTGTTTTATACATCTTTTGAAAATAATAATTGAGCCTTACTATATATGACTGTGGTGGATTCCAGTGCACCCAATCGTAATTCACTTTGTCTTCATCACGCACTACGTATCTTGCCCAAGGTGAAATACGATAAAGGAGATCACCATTTTGAGCGCGAATCACCACCTATAGAACAACCCAAACATATGCATGCAGTCACACATAATTCATATAAAACTTCCTTTGTAAACTATAGCAGAGAATGAAAAAGTACAGAGAAATTTAATTTAAAGAACACACAAATATACAATACAATTCAAGTCAATAAAGAATGACGCTGTTCACAGATGATTTGCAAAGGGATGGCAAATCAGGCATATCAGACACAAGAGTGATGTTCATGAGCATGAGGTGAAAAGTGATGATATATATAAGCTTCACATAAGTAATGTGAGAAACAGCCTTCTCAAATGGATTACTTTTAGGTTCCCTAATTTAGGCAGTCATTGCTATTTCCCTGCCAAGTTCTTATAAATCTAAATAGATATATGGCACCATATAGACAGTGTAATGCCATCAAGATAAGAACTGTGATTTGTTTACTTGGCAAACAATCCAGGTAAACCAATTTTAGTATCTTAATTCCCTCTTCTTTTCTATGAGTCTTAACCAATATCACATCAACCAGAACTGCAGATCAACACAAAAAGCACAGGACACTTTTCAGGTCAAGAAGAAGGAAGAGAGTAAAATTTAAATTGCTGGGTTTCGTTTTGCTGCCTTCCTGATCCTCTGGATGCCTTCATTGTTCTAATGACAAAATAGTGTTAGCTGTTCTATTTTCCATATTTGGTTTTCTCTATTTTATAATGAGAGATTAACAAGGACCATTCCTTTCAATTCCTTCAAAAACCTCATAAAACTTCACCAGAAAGAGTGAGCAAACAAAAACCTAGGAGCACTTTTGGAATATTGTAACTTTGTACAAGAGGAAAACTGAAACAATTTCTAGGTTAATGTTGTATGGGGACCCTGCAGAAGACATTGTATTTGAGGAGCTGCTGCTCTACTGAGTAATTAATGCATTCTGTAACTTGTAAAATACCTCTGGGAAAGGGCTGAGAATCAAGGGCTGGAAAAGGTTGTGCTGCTGACTGTGAGAGCGCTGCACATTTAGAAGCTGGTGACAACAGGTCCATGCTGTGCTGCACATATCCCTTGGGTGCAGGACAACCTCAGCCATAACAGAGGGACCTGGCAGCAGCTCCCCCTTGGTACCAGCAACTACATCACCCATATGGCCTTGCCTTTGTCTTAAAACTCCAGTAAGAAATTCCCATGTGAACATGTTCTGTCACACGTGTACGCCATGGGAAAATCTACCAGGCCTCTGTCTGATGCCATGCTAATGCAGGTTGCCCAACATTTGAAGGTGACTTAATCATTATCAGTATTCCTCCTATTATAAGTGATGCAGTAATTGTATGAAGCCAGTCATTGTTAGTCCTTTCTTGTTGACATGCAGAAAGAAACCTGCTCCATCTCACTTAACTCCCTACACTGCACCTCCCCACTTCCTCGGTGTGAAAGGAACAGCATCACACTGGTTCTGCCCAGTGTTTTGGCTGTCATTAACATAAACCACAGAAAGTTAGCAAATTTAAACCCAAGAAATGTACAAGCAAGTAAAGTCCTGAAATTCTTCATTCCCCTTTTGTTAAGAAGCTGATGGCTGTTTTTCAGGTTTGGTTGTCGGGGGTTTGGGGAAGAGATATATATATATATGTATGAATAGCTTCACATGAAAAGGGGCAGATTTAAGCTTCCCCCCCCCCCCCTTTTTTATTAACAAGGTGACTTTTCTTTGCTCTCCGTTCCTAACACTTACTCTAGAAAGAGACCATTATCAATAAATTGTCTTTTCACCTGTGGCAAGTGGTTTCCTTTATTTTGATTCATTATCTGTATCCTTAACCCAACCACACAATGCAAGATAAAAATATGTATATGCAGTGGTTTAATGGAAGTTGGTAACGCAAGGAAGTATGACTGCTCTGTCCCTCAGTACATATTACTATAACTCTAACAACTCAAAACTGGTTATAATAGAAGAGGACTAAGAATATATAAAACAAATACAGACCACCTAATTAGTAAAAGTGGAGAAAAAGTTGTTTAGAACACTGTACAACTGCATGAAAAATTTATTCTGTTCACTATGTTAACAAAGCTGGCCAAAAGGGTATTTCTGCAAATTACATAAACATTATGAAGATACTCCTGGCTGACAGCATTTACAATTTGCAAGTTACTCTTAAAATAATAATATTTATCTCTTCTTTCTGATATCACACTCCTGATAGTGCTATTACTTGTTCTATTAATTTGTCCCAATTTACCCATTGCACAAATAAGGTAATTATTGCATATCATAATCATACCTAGATACCCAAGTCACCATTCCTCTTTTACTAACATTCTAGTGCAATTTATACTGCAGAGGCTTATGAGGGGATACACATTTTAAGAAATATAAGGTACTTAATCTAAATTTGTATCATTATTACACTAATTCTGGTGAAGTTGAATCCTGTTCTTCTCCGGTTTACATGAGCATAATTAACAGTTTCCTTAAGACCTCTATCAAGCGATCCCTCACAATTTCAAATTCTCATTTATTATGCTTTCTAAAACCTTTTCTTAATTGTATGTGAATCCCATTTACTGAATCTTTCCTTACTATCGAGATCTATAATCAGCCAACTTATTCCTCTCTCCTGATATTGTAAAAAGGTAAGTTACTAGCAGAAAGACTTCAGATAGTATTTTCTAATGTTCCTTGAGAGAGAACTCCCACACCATCATGCTTAGCTGAGGCATGAGCAAAAAAAAGAAGAAAACCTGCTAAAAGTTGAATGGCACCCCAAAAAATAGCAATTCAGCCCACAGCTGACAAAAATAAATAATGGAAGTGGTCCAAGAGCTTTCATTCTTGTTTTCGCTTTGACATTTCTTGAAGTAATTGCAAATAAATAAAAGCTGTAATAAAAGCAGTAACATAAAGCACAAACCTAAAACTGAAAGAAAGGTAAACAACTCTTGCTCCATTAACCCCAGACTATTACTTGTGGTCCTTTCTCTGAAGTGTTCAGATATAAAAAGTAGCTGCAATGTGTACTGTGCACCTGCTGCTACAGGTTATATATGCATAAAGAGTACTCAGTATAGTCATTACATAGCCCTTTTGACAAAGCACCTAAGTCTATCTAGCAGATACTGTACTTTTGCTCCAAATTTGCCTTTTTTTTCTCCACTCATTTCAAATTCTTAAAACTTATGATGCACAGACTAAGAGCACTTAGTTCATTAACATTTTATAGAAGAGTTTACATTATTCTACTTAATCTTCTCTAAAGAACATATATAAAATCATGATGTCCATTAAACCTCAAAACGACTGATGAGCTTTGAATGTCACATGATTCTCTCTTCCAAGTGAAGAACCACTATGCTAAGTAAATGCTCACATGCAAATAAGCAAGTGCCAAAGACAGAATGAAAACATCCTTCAAAATCTGGCATCAAAACTTACTCTAAAAATGGACATGGCACAGATACACAATTCATGTAAGTACTATTGTAAAACAATACAAAGTGAAGAGCTTAACCCAAGCTGCTTGTCTTTTACATGTAAAGGTAAGAAACGTCTCTTGTCTACATTTTACATTATAGGGATGTTGGGTGTATTTTCAAGATTCCTACCTGAAGCACACTTGAAGTTTAGCATCCAAAACAGCTGTAATTAGTGAGTGGATTTCAAAGATGAGTACACCCAACACTGTGAAAACATGTCTGGGTAACCCAAGGTTTAAGGCATCAATGCTGCTGAAGTGATTAGTTTCGAATTAGGAATTTTGAGATCTGAAAAGAAATCACTAGAAAACCGAAATATGTGGCTGTGATAAGAGCAAACACATAGCCAACAATGGCTGGCTTTGAAGGCATGTAAAAGCTGGTGTGCAAAAGTGCATTCCAATTTTCAAAGTGCTGGACTGCTGGAAGACAAAGCAGGACATAAAACTTGCAAAACACTGGTATCAAGTGACAATATATTCCACGTCTCTCTCACTAGAATAAAGGGAAATTATGAAATGGGGAGTAAGCTGTAGGATAAAAACAAGTACAGTGTTTATGGGTCTGTTTTGATGATGCTTAAAACTCTCAAAAGCCATTTATAAGATTTAAGGAGCAACCATCATTCTGAGGGCAGTGTAGTGTCATACAGAAAAGGCAATAAGACACTGAAACAATTCAGAAGCTGAAACAGGTTTAATTTAATTTAATGGTTCTTCCAATACAGGACAAGCGAGATTCAGAGGCCTCAATTTTTGAGGCTCTTGGGTATCCTACTCTTCTGACCTTCCAAAACAGCATGGGTCTTCCATGTCATCTACAGCACACCTGCCAACTTCTTCTAGATGCCTCAGGGCATTTAAAGGAAAACTTGGGACTTATATTCAGGCAACTTCCAACCTACTGTGACTCAATGAATTTTCTTGGCCTTTTATAGACAGAAGCCACACTATAAGTTATCTATACCAATCAAAAGTCTGAAAGTTTTGCAAGTCTACACAACTGTAAAAGTTTGTTTAAATTTGTATTTGTGGCCAAAGTGCAAACCCATGTGTAAAACAGGGCTTAAGATGGTTGTGCTATTGTTATGACAGATGAAACTGAGCAATAACAGGCCACAAAATATCACAGTTGAAATTCATATGTTTATTAACATCCCCTTTCTTTTTGTGTCTGCCTACTTTCATCTCTTCTTCCCATCACCTCCATTTGGTTACCTCATTTTCTACTGCAGACATACACGGATCTTCAGAACAGTGTGGAAGAAAAATTCAAATGACGGTTACATATAAGATCAGACAGTTTCTCTGCTCAGCATCCACTCTTTTAGCTTTCAATTCCTGCATCTAAAGCAGACTGTAATTCCATGCATGAGCACTGAATTCAATTATGATGTCTTCCTGTAAGTTGTCTGGTCTATTTCCACTGATGATGATGATGCAGGGTCAGAAATAAGAATTACAAAAAGAAGCCATGCTGTCTTGATAGTTCCTTTTTTTTTATTTTCATTTAAAACTAGCATCTGCAGGACTTTTTTTTTAAGAATAAAAAAT